GAGGAGAGGTTCCTTGGTGGGAACCGCGGGCCCACAATGCCCAGACTGGCACGGCCAAGCTTTCCTGACCATCTTGTCCGCTGGCTTGCCCCCCCTTCTCCCCCCCTCCCTTTCACCACAGCTTCGACGATCTGTGGGGGCGTTTTGAGGCTCCGGTGGAGGGCAATCGCTGGGACAGGCCGCTCATATGCTACAGTCCCCGTCCGCCCTCGGAGGGGGCGGAGGAAAAGGAGGGTCGAAGAAGCACGCGGGATGAGGTGTATCAACAAGTATTAGCCGCCATAACGGAAGGGAAAGCCCCTGCTGCTGGTCTCTCTACCGCCACGGTAATAAAGGAAAGGGGGCCAAAGAGAGAGAGAAGAGGGGGGGAAGGGGGAGAAAGGAGGAGAGTGGGAGGGAGTTGGAGTTGGTAGGTAGAAGATGGGCGACGGAACGTGTGGTATAGGCCAAGGAGGCTCAAGACGAGGACAGGGAGGGCTGGAGTGGGGTAGGCAGGCTTGAGATAGACGGGTGATTCCCACCCCCCCGACAGTGTTTCTGTTCCGAGGTCCTAGAATTCTACCCATGCTGCTCCCGAAAGGAAGGAGAAAGGGTGGGAGGCGGGGGTCGATGACGCGGACAGTTGTCAAACTCGGGGCAGAACAAGGTGCCTCTCGTCGATTGTTTTTGACAGGATGGTATCTGTCTTCTCCCAGTCCTTTCCTCTGTGCCCATGCGGCAGGGGAGGAAATTTGAGCGACCGGGTCCTAGCAGCTCTCGCTCTCGCTGAGGGGAAGGCGACAGACTTCACTCACCTCGGTGCCCCCATCCTTTCCCAGTATATCGCACAATTGATATTTTTCTGGTCTCTTGGTTGATGAAACCGGTTCACCTTTTTTTGGCAGTCATCTGTGCATTCCCACGCTCCCTCCCTCCCTCTCTTCATTCTCCTTTCCTCCCTCCAGGCCCCGCGCAATGACGCAGACGCTCTTTTCCTCCTGGACCAAGTCACCCAACGCCTCCTTTCCTCCATCCTCGAACGGCAAAAAACTTCCATGCCCGGCGACATCATTACAGTCCCGGAGGCGCGTACGCCAGTGTGCTTTCGACGGTAATGTGCCTGACTGCTTGTGCCTCCCTCCCTCCCTCCCTCCC